ATTTGGATGATTGAAATACAATGGGATTAAAAGGTAGAAACTCACTGGCCACCTTCTCCATAATAAGAACAAAATTATAATTTCCTTGATTATCATAACTTGGAAGTCAATCAAAATTAAATAATCCTTATGTGATGAGTTTGAGTTAGAAAAATAACATTCCATTAATTTTAAGCCCATGTTTGATCACAATGTGATCTTTCAATAAAAATGCATGTCATTTGAAACAAAATTTTGTTAATTACCATTTCACCTATTGTGATTGTTCAGGGTTAGGTAGTAACCTAGACTTGACATTTAAACTCATTTGATTGGATTTAGGAGATAACATAATTGATGATTAACACCTCTTTACACTACAAGCCCAATGTTAACTTTGAAGACTAAAACATTTACTTGCTTGAATTTGCCTTATGGGCACCCACCCACATAACTCTTAAATGAAATATCGATTGAATGAGTGTCTTAGCCTTGAGATAATTAAAACATCAAGTTTCTCTGAGCAATGGGATAACCTTAGCTTAACCTTAGATGATTAATAAAACGATACGATACGTTCAAAATGAACTCGAAATATTTCAAGAAATCTTCAACGTGGTTCAGGGACATGCTCCGAGTACTTTGAAATTTTTTTAATATTTTGAAGGGCAAATTGAACTTGCTATACTTTGCTCTAAAATCATTCACTAAGATCTTTCAAGACTCAACAAAGTCATAACTTGGGGTTTAGCAGCTATACCTTCATCTACTCTTGCAATTTAAATTCTTTACAAGATTATACATATGTTGCCAAAGCGACCTTTCAGATGGAAGAATGAGAAGAATCGACAGGTACGCTTTTAAATTATTGTATTTATCTTTCTATACTTCTTGTCTCGAACTTGCATGTTAAAAAATGATGTCAATCTGCATGTCAAAATCAAAACTGTTAGGATAGCCGTAAAACTAAAACTAAAAATAAAAATTAAACAAGATAAAATTCACCGCCACAACATTCAAAATATAAAGACACTTTAATATTTAATCACAAACATCACACAATAAAAATTGCAAAAAAATTGCAACTAAATTAAGATGTCTTTATCGGATGATTGGGAATTCCTCGGAGGAGGTACCTACGGTTGCTAACGAGATTTCCCAGGGTCTGAATTAAAGTAAGGAACTCACTAAGTTGAGTTTAGTAAATTCATTTGGACTAAGTGAATCCGAAAGAAAATAGTGGTGCCGGAATGAGGGAATCGTAAAATCCTAACCGGTGTCGCTCGAATCAACTTTAACATCCCCCATAATATTTAAATAACTATGAACTTAGAAAACATTTGATTTACATTTGAGTTAACATCATGACTTGACACTTTAGAAAACTTAAATTCGCCACGACGAGGAGTTTGGAGCTAGCATTGTGGGCAGCACGGTCATCTTCAACAGCAAAACATGTCTACATTAGTTAAATCATTCCTTAGAATTAAACAGTTAAACCATTTCTTAGTATTAAACGACCAAACCATAGGACTTTGAAGTTCACCGCCTAGTGCGGGACATGCTCCGAGTACTTTGAAATTTTTTTAATACTTTGAACGTCTAAGACTGCACTAAGATCTTCGGAGACTCAATAATGTCATAACTTGGGGTTTGGTAGCAATACCTTCATCTACTCCTACATATTGAATTCCTTTTACCACTCAATAATGTCATATTGCCACAGCTAACCTTTCAGGTGGAGGTGCGGGAAGAATCGACAAGTATGCTTTTAAGTTATTACATTTACTTTTTCATTCCTCTTATTTCTAGCATGCATGCTTAATACACCCTGCATGTCAAAACCAAATATAACTATTAAACAAG